AGGCATACTCTTAAGAATGCCTCTTGCTATATAACTAAGGATTTTTCTCTCTCTCTCTCTGAGGATCTAAAACACAAATTAGCACCAGGGACCTCTGTGTTTCTTCTTAGTAACAAGTCAGTTTTAATCTTCTGAACATTTAAATCATACAAGTGATCATGTTTCTCTCTTTGCCTTGGCTACTAGGAAGCTCAGACCCAAATTCATGATTGACCATTCTACTCCTTAAACCAATACATAGAACTTATGATATTAATTTTATATATTAATGTTACCCCTTAGTTTATCTTGGGTTTCCTATCTTTATTTTCCCTTTGTCTTGATTTCTGCAAGTGCTTTTTGAAAGAATTCTAGTTACAGCACATTTTTATAAGCTATTGCAAATTCTTTTTGGAACAAAATGGGATATGTTAGACAAACTAATTAAACATAGTCATTGACATGCAGTCCTGCATAGCATAACAGCTCTCAAGCAGATGGTAATGAGCACCAAAGTACAGACTAGGGCTCCGAGGAAACTTTTTGGCTTTGGGGTCAGCTCCCCCAACAGAAGCCTTTCTACTGGCTCCAGCTGTCATAAAACATCTGGAAGCATATTGGCACTACATATTAAATATGTTTTAAGATAATGAAACTCTTTTAGTAAAATAAAAACAGATATACACGCAGCCAGCCTGGTGGCACAGCGGTTAAGTTCGCATGTTCCACTTTGGTGGCCCTGGGTTTGCAGGTTCAGATCGCGGGTGTGAACCTATGCACCACTTATCAAGCCATGCTGTGGCAGGCATCCCACATATAAAGTAGAGGAAGATGGGCATGGATGTTAGCTCAGGTGCCAATCTTAAAAAAAAAACAGGGGGCTGGCCCCGTGGCCGAGTGGTTAAGTTCGCGTGCTCCACTGCAGGCGGCCCAGTGTTTCGTTGGTTCGAATCCTGGGCGCGGACATGGCACTGCTCATCAAACCACGCTGAGGCAGCGTCCCACATGCCACAACTAGAAGGACCCACAACTAAGAATATACAACTATGTACCAGGGGTCTTTGGGGAGAAAAAGAAAAAAAAACAAAAAAACAAAAAACCAGTTATAGACATTCAAAATCTGGAATCCCGACATTCAATTCCGAACCTACTGTCTCTCAACTCCATCCAGCAGATCCACACACAGAACTCCTAAAATTCTGGTCCTTCCGGAAATGTATCATGTTGGTCTACAAAATTATAAACAAGAAATAGTAGATACTGGAAGTGCGTGCCCCCGTGTATGAGACAATATGAACGGATCATTTAGAATACCTCAACATTGCTCCAGTTGTTCAAAAACATGTACTAATTTTTAAAAGTCCTGAGTACTCCATTACCCTCCTCCATGCCTTTCACTGAACTAACTATTCAAATACTACCTGTTCCCAGACGTGATCAAAAAGATTGTTATCTGCCATTGAAATGCCTTCCTGTATCTTTGTGAGGATCTCTTCTCTTGGGCGCAGAACCAGGACCAATCCTGATGCAGCCAGGAATCCCGGGGGGGGCCAGCCCCCGGAGCAGCCTGGACCAGAGCTCTGGGCTGCAAGGACGACTGCTGTGCTTGTGCTGACTGCCATGTAGTGCTAAAATACAGAGGGGCTCCTGGCCCTTCTGAGCCCTAACCCAGCCCAGCTGCATCAGGAGGGTAGGCACCAGGCAAAAATCTTCTGGCTGGTGTGGCCTGGGTGCCTCCGGCCTTGCCCCTGGCCTCAAGTGTCGGTGCTATTAGCTTCTTTCTTTCACACAACAATTTCAGGATACGGATCATATTTATTAAAAAGTAAGAACTCTCAGGTACAAGGAGGATGAGACCTAAGGTTTCCCTATTCTCTCAGGTTTAAGTAGCCCAGAGTGCCTTAAACTATCATTTTACATTTTTGCAAATATTGCTTGACCTTTGATGACCTACACTAACCATTAATAATAACCTAATGAACATAAACAAGCAGCTGCAAAATTTATTTGATTCTTTATATATTTCAGTTGTGTAATCAATATACCCTAATTGCAGCCAGTATAAAGTGAGTACAAAACCAGCCATCATTCCATGGCTCAAATAACTCCAGTTAGCACGTCAGCATCTGCCCTTCTAGTCTTCTGCTTATGTATGTGTGTTCAGCATCAGTCAGTCATAAGCAGCGAGCTGGATTCAAACCCAGGGCTGGCAGGGGTGTCCAATTTTCCCAGAAGGAAGCTAAGAAGAGCTAGACCCACCAAATGATGGCGTGGTAGTTTCTAACTATGGAGTGCTTACTGTACGCCAGGCACTGAGGTGATATCATTTAAAACTTCCCTGCAACCTACCATAGTGGGTCTTGCTTCCCACTTCACAGATGGAGAAACTGAGACCTGAAGAGACACAATACTGCTTGTGAGAAGACAAGCTGGGATTCCAGGCCAGGCCTGGTGCCTGTATGATGAGAAAGAAGGGTCAGTTTTACACTACTGCCTTTGATTAGGATATAGAATTTGGGGTTTCTTTTCTTCCTTTCCACATCTCACAGCATACCAAGACAGGGGGAGTTTACTCCAAGTTGACAGGATGGCAGGAAAGGAGAGTTGGACTGGCCTGAGGAGGGGCTGGTTTTGCCACCAATTTGTGCTGAGACCCAGAGCAAGCCCTGACTCTCTGGGCCCAGTTTACTTGTCTGTTCATTGAGGGTGTCGCCAGCCAGGTGTCTCAGAAACCTCCCAGCTCTGAACTCCCGTGACTCTAGCTGGCCCCTGCATAAACGCACCCCATGCAAACTGGAGGCCAGTGAGACGTGGGGCACTCTGCTACCACCACAAAAACAACGATCCTAAATACATAGGAAATACTATCTAAATTACTCTATTCTAAGGAAAAACAAGTACTTTTTTATTAGACGCGAGGGGAGGATGAGGACAAATTCGAACAGCGAAAATACGCTAAGACATGTAAGAGACATAAGCAGAAAGAACCTCCCACAACTTAATTTTGTACCATCATGTGACCCCAAAACCCAGGTGTGCACTTTCCTTTACCATCACTGAGATGAAAATAATGGAACACCCGATGTAGGGTCTGAATCCAGGCCTCACTACTGACACCTCAAAGCCTGGGGTAAGTGACTGTCGGGGTGAAGAAAGTCCTTCAGAAACATTTAACGTGAAGGCTCTAATGTGTATTACAGTTAAACAAGTCAAAGTCAGAACATGTGGGTACTTAACTTTAACTAAAAAAAGAAAACATCGTGTCATATTATCTTAACTCTTTTGGGAAAACAAATACAGAGCATACGTGAGATTCCCTCTGCCCCTGAAATATGAGTATCACAGCCTTTGACTCCGGAACATTCGAGACAAAAGCCATGCTTGAGCAGGAATACAAAAATGACACTTTTTTTTTTATGGTAACACATTCTTAAGAGATTTGAAAACTTGAGAGGCAGTATTAGCCACTTAGACAGTATTTACAAAGCACCGATGAATGAAGACTTCACAGTTTACTGAAGATAACAAATGGTGCGGTGATGGGACAGGCCTTCCTGAACATCTCAATCCTTTCGACAAACAGCTCAGAGGAAGGCTCTTTTCTAAGTCGACCTTCAAGGTGCAACCGCGCCGAGAGGAGCTTTCAGTTGAAAAAGGTCTTGGTTATTCCACATTTCACTGGAATGTAACTGGCCTGCTTGCTTTTATTGTTTATCGAGATATAACTGACGTACAACCTTCTACTACTTTCAGGTGTACAATAGAATGATTTGATATTTGTATATATTGTGAGACGATCCGTCACCACACAGAGTTACAAACTTTTTCTTCTTGTGATGGGAACTTTTAAGATCTACTCTCTTAGCAACTTTCAAACATACACCACAGTACTGTTAACGCCTTGCTGAACCGTACATCCCCAGCACTCATTTCTATTTTATAACTGGAAGTTTGCAGCTCTTGACCACCTTCACCCATTTTGCCCGCCCCCCCACTCTGGCCTGCTTGTTTTAAATCTCGAAAGGTTTTCAAACACAATGCTTTCCCCACTGGCAAAATGCTCGCTATGAAGTTTCGAAATTTAAATAATGATTTCTAAATAAATTACTTCACCAACATATTTATCCATCAAGATACTACAGTGGAAGGAAAAACCACTTTGGGTAGAATTTTAAAGTTTGTATGAGTCTCCTGTGTGTTTTGGCAAAGACTTTCTCGAAGTTTTTGCTAAAAAGTTTTCATTTTTTTTTCCAAGTTTCACTAATAGGCGCATAAATCCATCTTAATCTACGTTTAAGAACCTAACTCTGGTTATGAATGTTAAAAAAAAAACCCACTCTCAGTAGAGATTGACATTTCAGTAATCTTTGCGAGCTGGCATGTTCAAAATGGAATCTAAATATTGTATTAACAATATCAATAACAAGCAGGTTCGGCGGGCCTTAATAAAACACGCTTGAATTGGGAGAGAAATTCTTGTTATTTTGTGTTTCACCCAGCTTTAATTTACATTGATTTAATAAAATCTATGACAATCTCACTTTTTAATCACATAAGAATTCTGAGTTTCACTACATGTGCATAATAAAAATGTGAAACCTAGCAGTAGGTGTAATGAAATTTTTGTTGCCCAATCATTTTTGAAACTTTCAACTGAAGTAACAAATCCCCAGCAAAGCCCACATCCATGTCCAGCTCAATTAATTTTCACAAACAGTTTACCCATGTAACCAGCACCCAGATGAACAAACCAGCACCTCAGGAGCCCCCTTCCACCCTCCTCCAGCTACTACCTTACACCCCAAGGATAAGCGCAACTTAGACTTCTCTATGCACACTTTCCCTATGAAGTCTGGCGGGGGGCCACACGGAGCCAAGACCACCCCTCTAGAGCCACAAAGCGCTGGCCTGCACATTATCTCATGTACTTCTTGAGAGGTAGGTGATATCCTCCTGGTCTTACAAATGAAAAACAAGCTTAAAGTCGAGTATTTGACCAAGCCAAGGGGCATATATGTGTATGTGTAAATGAGTGTGTGTGTGTGTGTGTATTAGACAGAGAAAGAGATTATGAGGGATTGTCAGAGTCAGGACTCAAAGCTAGGTCTCTCCAATGCCAAACAGTTCTGTAGCACAAAAGCTATTTTAGGCAGTCCCATTTTCCTCCCAATTCACTGACTCACACGTCCAACAAATGCCATTTATAGTTAAATGGCCTTATATAGAGAAGAACTATCCCACCGCCTAGCCCCCAACACACACACACACACACACACAGAGTATGACAGTTTTTGAAATGAAACCCATTTTCTCATTTAGCATCTTATCTTCCCCTCACTACATCCTGGATTGTGAACCATTCTGAGTCTCATTAGAGGTGTCTTAATTTTAAAAATTAAGTTGGGAACTAGCAAGTGAGATTCAAGAGGCTACATCTTTGGCTCTGAACTGGATTTTCATTATTCAATTACTCTTCAAATTATGCTGATTTAAGATGTGATTATTATTATTTTTCCCAAGTAGACTGGGTAATGACAGAAACACAAAGGCACCCTAGACTAAAGGTGATCTGAGGCTTGAATACCTCTCTCATCTGTCCAGTCGCCCCAGCCCCATTTTACTTCCACCCAAACTACTTCTTGGTCTGCTGCTCTCCTCTGGCCTGGTCCATACAGCTGCTCACATCTCCTTCCACTTGAGCCCCAGGTATGACCGCTGCAATTCAAGTTACCGTGACCACATTCCACTGTGATCACGTGACACAGCGTGCATCCTGCACCAGTTTCCCATGTTTATGAACATCAGCTCTTAGTTCTTTACCCTTCTTTCTATGCCTAATTTCAAGGTAGGACTGAAAATGCACCATCTGCCCCAAGTCCCCACCATCCAGCCACCCTTGTCTCCTCAGAGTCAAACCCACTCTCCACCACCTTAATCAGAAGCTCCCCACAATTCTGCCTGGGACACTTACCTTTCACCTTCTCATCTTCTTTCCTATAAGGGATAAAGTAAGTTACCTAAAAAGGACATGGTGACTTTTCCCATCTCCATCCTGGCTCCTCATATTTCTCCTTTGCTTTCAAACACACACACATCACATACCGACGTACTGTCTGTGCACTTATTTGTGCCCTGTGCCTTTGGTGTGGGCTTCATTATTTTGTGCACTTAGCTAAATGAGTGTTTTTGCCATGGCTGCAGTACAATGGCGCCTCTTTTGTATTGGGGCCTGGAGCGACACTGTGATTGAGAAGAGCACAGGTGACCATGTTGAGTAGTTCAGGGGGGCAGATTTAGGAGAAGCAGGGACAGCAGCCTTGCACTGCCCAAGCAACACCCCTCAGTGAAGTCTTCCCTGACTTCCTTCCCCTGAAATCTGAGCCCTCTTGCGACGGGATGAACCACCAAGGCTTCTCAGTGATTCTCTCTCCCAGCTAGATGGAAAATTCCTTGAGGGCAGTGGTCTTCTTATCTCTATCCCCAGCACGTCCGGGGGTACCTAGCTAGCACACTATAGGAAATCAAGGAATGTATGTGAAAAGGATGCATGTAATTCACTGTTATGAACTGTCCCCCCCCAAAATTGACAAACCCCTAATATGACTGAATTTAGAAATAGAGCCTTGAAAGAGGTAATTAAGGTTAAATGAGGACATAGGGTGGGACTCTAATGCAATAGGACCCTAATCCAACAGGACTGGGTCCTTATAAGAAGAGGAAGAGACCACAGGCAACACCTGCACAGAGAAAAGGCCATGTGAGGCCACAGTGAGAAAGCAGCCATCTGCAAGACAAGAAGAGAAGCCCAGGTAACATCAACCCTGCCAACACCTTGATCTTGGACTTCCAGCCTCCAGAACTGTGAGAAAATAAATGTCTGTTGTTCAAGCCCCCCAGTCTGTGATATTTTGTTATGGCAGCCTAGGTGATTAATACATTCACAACCATCCAAGCATCCTGGACTCTAAAGCTGGGACTCCAGGGATCGACTCTGGCTGCTGAGGGAAGTTTGCGAAGACCCCGAGGTTTGCTGCTCAAGGTTAACCCTGAGCCAAGGGCAGCAGCATCCCATCTTCCGTCTCTCCTGTGTCACCAAGTCTAGTGAAGGCAATCGTCTCAGCAATCCCCACTCTGCCAGGGAAAGCAGATGTCATCAGTAACTAAGATTCTGGGCCTCTGGAAATTATTTTTAACTTGACCGACACCACCATATGCCCTGAGACTTTGGCACTCCTGTACACCCTGGGTAATGGCCACTATCATGAAAAGAAAGCTGGAAGGGTCTCAAATGGGAGGATGTGCATTCTGGCCTTAGACCTTCCACTTACTGGTTATGTATACTTGTCTAAGAAACCTAACATTTTTGTGTCCATTGCTTTGTTTTCTAAAATGGCTGTGCTGTTGTAATGGATAGTTCCTTTTCTCTTCTTTGGGAACTGACCCTAACTTGCTCTGGAGAACCTTCCATCTCCCCATCCCAATGTGCTTCGAAGTGATGTTTCCACCCCCAGCATAAACCAAACCACCCCTCCCACTCCTCTGGTTACAGTGATGGTTCCAGGCGGCCATGTGATCCAGGCTAGTCTAATTACAGTGCATCTCAGGGCTCTTCCTGGGAACACTGGGGAAACGCCAGATTCAAAGCTGGTGTTTGTAGCCCAAGAGGCTGCCGGCAGCCACTCTGTCAATTCAACGTGAGCCTCTCCGAGCCTATTTCCACCAGAAGCAAAGCTGAGCAGGGAGACAGAGAGAATAGGTATTATGATCATCGTGATCCTACTTTGTTTGCTTAAGTCAAGTCGCCATCTCTGAAAAGCTCTCCAAGCTCATCTTATATTCTTTCAAGAGACAGGCAAGCCACTAAGTGGGCCTCCTCGGAAAACAGAGAGGTTGGAACTTCACTGACACCCAGAAATCATCAGTGATACATATTTAACTGATGCTATTCATTCAGAAATTTTTTATTAGTCAGGACTCTTGGATGCACATACAAAAGCCCAAATCAAGCTGCTTTAGGTAAGAAGGGGAATTTATGAGCTTATCTAATCCAACCATGGGAAGGACAGATGTACAACAGCCCCTCCTCTCTGCTGCTTTGCTTTGGGGCCATTTCTTGTACTCCGGTCAACTCCACGTGGTAGTCCTTGTGATGCGAGCATATCCTTTAGAGCTCCCAGACGCAAGATAAGAAGTACCAGAGCGGAACCCTGGCCTGGACTGGGTCACGTGCCCATCCCTCAACCAGTCACTGAGGGCAGGGAGCTCCCATAAGTTGGAACCTCCCATTTGGAATATACGCTGGAAGTGGGGTGGACGGGTTGGCAAACTGTAGGTCCCAGAAGAGGAGAAAGATGCCCTAGAGACCCTGGTATGGCTGTTAGTACCTGTGTTGTCCCTGTGAGCAACCCAATTGGGGCCTGCTTTCAGTTATGTAAGTTTAAAAGTGAAAACTTCATAATTATTTCATTTCCCAACCACGGCAAAACTTAAAGAATGAAGTCTCTCAGAGTCTCAGAAATTCAGTACGCACGAATGATAAACACAGAATTGGCCTTTCTACATGTCAGGGCTTCTCATCTCTTGTCACAACGCCCTTGCAATCTTGCTCAAAATGTGGGAAACGAATCCACAGCCAAGACACTGGGTTAAAGTCGCCCTACAGGCAGATGTCATCAGACACAGACCTGTGGTTCTAACACCTCACTGCGATTTGTGTCAAAGAAGCAAAATGAGATCATCCTGACCACGTCCCATGCAAAAATCACAGTCCAAAGAGTAACCAACTTGTGTGTGCTATGGTGACCATTAGGTGGGGGACAAGTTCAACACGACCCTTCAAATGATGTCTCAAAGTTCTTTATCACTGCAAGTATGTCTCTCCTTCTTTCCTTCTCTCCCTCTTGCCCACCTCTGAAATGAATCTTTGCAAACAGTTCATACTCTGACACAATCAGAGACACTAAGAGGAAGAAACAGGAATAGAGAACACAAGTCATTCGACTCTGTCCCCAAGGAACCTTCTTTTTCTGTGCCACGTTTCTGCAAGATCTTAGTTACTCAAGTGTCACTGAGAACAGCTGGTTAGGCCTCAAGTTCTCCTCCTCCTGTGAGTATCTCATGGGTATTGGTCCCAATGTAGCAGGAGCTTCAGAGAGATTGAACACGGTCTTCAACATTCCAGAAGGCGTAACTTCGGTTCAACTGGGGAAGAAGTTTTTTTATGTTATTGTTGTTTGGGGGTGGAAGGAACTGCAGAAAGGCTAGCATAAACAACGAATTCTATTTACTGAACACTCAGTAATCAGCAGGCACTGTGCCCACCCCGGTACACACACTATCTTTCAATTTGCACAAAATCCCATCAAGTACCACTATCAGTTTGGCTGGAAAGGAAAGGCTTAAACCCATCAGATGAGTTGCTCGAGGTCATACGGCTGGTGGGCAGCAGAGGTTGGCCTTTGCACCCAAGATGGCCAGCTCCAAGGGCCATCCTCTCTCCCACTCATGCTGCCTCCTCCAGAGTGAAAGCAGTGGCAATGGCACCTGCTCTTGGAGCACCTACTAAGTGCCAGGGATGCTCCCTAGATTGTCATCATCTAACCCTCACAATAATTATTCTGATCTCGTGAGACTGGTATTTTTGCATTTAACAGTAGCTCAAAGAAGTTTCCATAACTTTTCCGAAGTCAGACAGCAATTAGGCAGCAGGAAGGGAATGGAGCTGGGTATGCTTGATGGGAAAACTGAGGGCTTTTATGCAAAGACCAACAGGAGAGCTGGGTGGCATGGAAACACCAGAGAAACAGGGGCAGGAGGATGGCAGGAGAGATTTATTCTTGCAGACCCACAACGAGCAGTGATAAATCAAGCAGCCTTTATCCATGAGCCACATTCACTCATGCACATGCACACACACACACCTACACACATGCACACACACACACAATTACATACATAGACTCCTAAGCTATCCCACACACTGCAGCGAGTACTACCCAGGAGTTCTCAGCCACACCTTTTGGTCGTCAAGGGAACCAAACAAGAACACAAACTTGACCTCTTGCAGTTTATAGGTGGATGCTTTGAAGTTCACTTCTGGGACTCGTGTGAACAGCTTGCTTAGAGTATATTCCAAAAAATTCTTCTTCATTGTAAGCCTCGTGATAATTGTATGGAAATACTTCTAGACTTCCATCCAAGCACGCTTAAACAGAACTTCAAGGGGAAGGACTTTTCCAATTGTACTTTAAGATGGAGCACTTTGATAAAAGCCAGCTCTGCAGCACAACATGGTCCAAGGCTGTATAAGCTTTATATTTTACAATCTAAGTGATACAATTTAATAGACAAGAAAAACATTTTAAAATGCTCAAAAAATTCAACTGTAAGGAAGTATTCCTATTGATGGATTATAATCAGTATAAAAATACCTAGATCTAGCTATCTATCTACTAGCAGAAAATTCAGATAGACTCAAATAAAATATTCTGTTAAGGGATGCGTTCCTCTCATTGCATTAACCTTTGAATGACTCATTCCAGGATTTCCCTTTTTCTCTAGCCACAGTCTTTGAAATATCTTAAAGTGAGCTATTTACAGTAGTCACGTGTGGGACAAGAAGAGAAATGAAGCACCTTAATCACCTGAATGAAAGAAGACAAAGAAGTGTTCATTTCTACCTTTTTCTCTTGTCATTATAAATTTCTTTTAGGCATTATAACAGGATTCTCCCCAGCCTCAGTCTGCAAAACACTGCAGAACATCTAGACATCTAAAGCGGAAACTTATTTAGAAGTAGGTATGCCATTTTAAACCAAAGATTAGTGTGAGTTCAGGTTTGTGACCCTGGCTCTGCGACCTTAAGCAAGACAACAGCGTTGGGCCTTATTTTCCTCACCTACAAAACGGCAGTCATAATGCCTAAGGCATAGGCTAACATAAGAATAATGTAAAGATCTCCAGCCAGACACAGAAGGGCACACACTGTATGATTCCAGCTACGTGAACTGTCCAGAAGAGGCACGTCCACAGAGACGGAAAGCAGATCAGCGGTTGTGCCCTGAAGGTCCCAGTGCCACCTTAATCGTCAGAGCCACCAGGTGGCTTTTCTTCAGTCCCATCCTCCCTGGTTCCTCTGCCAGTGGGTGCTCCTGCCTCTCCCCTCTTTCTGAAACTGCTGCCCTTCATTTCAGTGATTTTCCCCCAGTTTCTGACTCAGCTGCTTCTTTGCTGTTATCGTTGTTGCCAGCTACCACCCCGTCTTTCTAGCACAAATGTAAGTCTTCAATATGGACATTTTTCCTCTTCTTCATTCTATATTCCCCTGAAAATCCCATCTATGCTGTAATTTCAATGGTCATATCCGGATTAATAACTTCCAAAACTCCCTCTCCAGCCCTGACCTCCGTCTTGTGTACTCCAGCCTCCGTCTCCACCTTCTCCGGGACACTCCCCTGAAACAGCAGGGCCAGCCCGTACACGCCCACCAGCAGGTGCCTGGCCCAGAGGACGCTCTCAAGACATGCTCTCAAGGCCATGTCCCCAGCTGAGCCGGCAACTCCTTCTGACTTCCTATTTCTGTCCATAGGAAGAAACACTGGATTCAGGGTACAACACTGGATTTTCACAAAAATGGTTACTACAGACAGTAGTTGAGAGACCAGCTGGAACTGAGGTCAGACAGGAAAATAGGGGCTATCCGACTGATGCCTTCTCACATCCACACCAGGCTGCAGATGCCGGGGAAGCTGACGTAACTGCAGATCGGGCAAACTGGGATTCCTAAGAGACAGGGAAGATCAGAACTGACCAAAGGCTTCTTTTAAAGTTGCATTTCCTTATATTTTTAACTAACTTACGAGCATGTTCTCAGTGACCACATAGAACTTGAGTGATTAGAAGAGCTGAACAGCACCCCTTTAAATCCACCTGACTGTAAACAAAACAGCCAGCCGACTTTCTTATTGGTAGTTACATAAATATCTTTACAAATAACTCAGCGCAGAACAATAAGACAAAACGATGCCAAGAGAAAGGGACCCCTCTCTAAAGACCAAAGGGCTTCCACAGACCAAAAAGAGGACAGAAGGCAATTAGGACTTGCGGGGAAAATGTAGAGAGGGTTTCTTCTCCACCCCCCTTTCTGTTATTACTATTTTTCTTGAAATGTGTGTGCCTGGGGGCAAGAATCAGGAGATTTATGCATTAGGTGGATGCCCTTGTTTGCAAATGGACAAAAGAGTCAGCTTGTGGAGCAGATTAGACGAAAGGAGCCAAAGAGCCCGGGGGCTGCAACCAAATGTGAAAGAAATGAGTGGGGGAGGGTCAGGGTAAACCTGAACAGAACCTGTGATCCTGGGTCTTAACGGAGAGGAGTAAAGAAGCACCTGGGACTGGAGACCTGAGGCCGTGGCAGACGAGGGAGTCCAGTGGCGCCATCCTGGTTCTATCAGAACAGAAATGCTGGTGGGGCTGGCAGAGAGAATGGAAATCACGCAAAGGAGAGGAGTTTGGGAACTTTTTCACCTTGAACATACCTGCCAGGATTAATAATCAGAAACCTTGGGCAGGAAACAAAGTCAAACATTAAAAACCTTCACTTTTATCACATATTTGCAAGGTGCCACGCACTGGACCGATGGATGTTTTCATGTTCACACTCTCCTTTAATCTTCACAAAGATTGTGGAAGACATACCTCACAGCCCCATTTTAAAGACAATTGAAACTAAGGATCAAAGTCCATCAGCTGGTGCCCAGTTTGGAGGGGTTCAAACCCAAGCGGATGTGATGTTAACTCTGTGTTCTTTCACATGGCCGTCTACACACCTGCTGTGTATATACAATTTTAGAGCAAGTGGTATAACTGGGTATTTGTGGGCTGGGTGACCTCCCAAGGAAGCAGTCCAATGTAAAAGGAATCCGAGATGAAGAAATGAACAAAAACTGTCTTTCAGATCTGTGTATAAACCCAACAGGATGTGGGGCGCCCCAGTCTCTGCCCTGCTCTGAGAATCGCTAGCCCCAGCAACTGGACACAGGAAACTTCAGCAAGGAAGGTAAAGAGCACGGGGAGACCACATTCAGAGGATTTTAGCCCTTTTCTCCTTAAGATTCACAGTCTTGTAAAATGTTCTAATAACTAACTCTGTCAGGAAAAGCATGTTCTAGATGCTTTACTAATATGAATTCATTGAATCCTCACAAGAACCCTATGAGACAAGCGTTATTATTAACATCCCCACAGAGAGGTGAAGCCAGTTGCCCAAGAAGCCAAGATAAGGTTTGTTTCCAGTTGTCCAAATCTGTAATATATGGCCTCCCTAAGATCCAGGAGACCTTTGAGCATCACGTTGTTCAAGGATCAGGATCTCCAGCCAACTTGCCACCACCCTATTTTCTCTCCTTAGAGAGAGAGAGCAGATACAGCTGGCTGAAGGCAGCACCCTTTTTGCATTGAGGTAGAGCTAAACCCCAAGACCATTTTGACCTACTTTTAGGGAAGGTGCTAGAATGGAATAGAGCTGGTACTCCACAGGCAGCCTCTGCCAATGCTGCAGTCCACTTCTCCATTCACAGGTGAGAACATGCAACCCTAGGGATGTCATGTGACATCCAAGGTCACAAAGTTCACCAAGTATCAGAGTTGGGACCACAACAAGGTCTGCTTACTTGTAATCCAGTGCTCTTTCCACTATAACTTGTGTCTGATATACTGAGTACTTGCTCTTGAGCCTTTCATGGCATGAAATACAACCAAAGTGAGGTACTGACAGGTGTCTTAGCAGTAAAAATGCACAGCAGAGCTATGGAGACGGTAAGGGGTGTGGAGAGTGGGGGATACACAATAATACTCCCAGGAAAGTAAGTACATGAAGTCAACCTAGAACTTGGAAACTGGCATTCCCCAGAGCAAGTCATCTAGTGGTCATAACTTCATGCATGTTTTACCGATGGCAGGCACTTCCTGTGCACTCATAGAACATGCATCTGACAGCAAAAGATCTGGTTTCCTTTTTCCCTGTCTGCTTTCGGGCCTGCAGCAGCACAACCCTGCTCTGTGCATTAAAAATGCCTTGAAGGTCTTCTTTCCATTTCATTAGCTCGTCCAGTGGATTGTCAGAAGTGAATGGAAATAAAAATCTGCTATGCGTGTTATGGAATTTATTTTAATTCTACCAGTGCATCCTACAGAAAGAGACTTAATGATAATTAGTGGCCCAATACTGGAGTCATAGAGAAAACGAAGGCAGATGGAGGGCCAGGAAGGCTGGGGTGGGGAGTTAGTAAGTGGGCAGGTTTGCATGACCAGTGGTGGCATCAGTGCTTGAGCAGCTTTGCAAGAAGGCTGGGCCGCACAGTCTGACCCCAGAATGGGCTGTAAGTGGACAAGCAGGCAGGCCCTGGGCCTCCCTGGGTAACTCCAGCCTAATCCAGAGCCTGACACACAGAGACGGATAATCAATGCTTGCAGGTGGGATAGTGTGGGTGGGCCTGGGGAACACCTGCTCAGAGAAAGAGCTAGAAATAAAAAGATACGTGGGCCCAAATGGTCAGCAGGCATGGAGCTGTAAAGGCAGCAGCTTCTCTCTGAACCAAACTCCACGTGGAGCTCTGAGGCCTACAGGGCCTATGAAGGCCAAAAGGGCAGAAGTGGAAGATCAGATTGGGGGCTGCTTGCAGCAACCTTCTGTAGGAGGCATGAAGTGAACAGGAACAGTGATGCCATATGTAGCTCTGGGACGAAACCTCCAGGGACCAGAGGAAGGGTCAGACCTGGGGTGAGGAATGTCATTAATTAGGAATCACCGACTCATTAAAATAATTCATCTGAGGGTGATGTTTAAATAAAGTAACCTAATTTTAAGTTTGATGGGTGTATGCAATGTGTGTGTACATGGGGGGGCGGAGTTAGGAGTTTGGAAAAGGCAAAAAATATAAAATGCTTTACGCTCTTAATTAAGAAAATCAGAGACATTATTAACTAATACAATAAAAAATGTATTTCAAACACATAGAGACCATAACAGAGACATGCAGAGGGGACGATTGGAGACACGTCTGAATAAGCCACGCTCATCTGTCTGGACTCTTCCTGGGTCCTTTAAACAAAGGGTTTGTCCCCTTTTGGCGCCCAGCAAGGTTTCTATTGTACAAGAACTGAAGTGCTCTCTAGTCCACTGAAACTGCTAACACGCTAAAATTGTCCCTAGCAGCCTAAATGGCATTTAAAATAAATACTGGGAATTGATGAAATGACCAATTATGTTAAGTACTCATGCCTGGTGTAATCCAAACCAAATCTTACCCCATTATCCTCAAAACTCGAGGCGATTCAGCAGGCCCTCTTGCCAGTGATTCTGCAAGAACCAAAACACAGAGGCCACACTAGGGTAGGACCTCGAGCGCTTCCAGTTAATTCTTGCAATTGGTCTTACGCTGGAAAAAAAATTACTGTGCCACATTTCTGCTCAACAGCTTATAAACCAAACAACCATTAGACAGCATACACCGCTTTCCCACTGGAACCATTATGTCACTTTGTTCCACTGATTTCAGGTTTTAACTTCCATTATTCCCTCTTCAGACATCACAGTGTTCTTCTTAAACATACCTGGGAGCACATGATGTCATGGTCCCAGAGTGCCCATGAATCACTCATTTTCCGTCTGCAACATCAAGTCCCCACTGCCACCTCTCTGTGATGCTCTCATGCTCCACGCTCTTGCTGTTTCCCCTTTCTGTTCCCACACGCCCACAACTATTTTTCAAGGCCTCGCTCAAGCGTCAATTCTTCCTCGAAGTGACAACCCCTACGCTCTCACCTCCCTGACAAACAGTCAGTCTCTCGCCTCTAAACAGTGTGGCACGTCTGCTTATTGTGTTGCTCCTGCATTCTTTGAGTCTCATCCCCTAGGGCCACTCCACATGGCAGGTTCTCCCCAACTCCTGTGTGGCCCAGTTCAGCCAGTTCAGACTGTGTTCAGGATCCTCAGTCAGGCTGGGCTCTGTTGGTTGGTCCCTGGGCCCCTGTGTCACCCTGTGTGAGCAAGCTTCACCTTCTACCCCAGTCCTAGGAACTGGTTCTTTAGGGTGTCCTGCTTGCCTTCAATACCAATGCTGGGAGCTGGTACCTCTTAACAGAGTTCTTTCCTGGTCTGATTACCTAGACAAATGCCCACCTGCTTGCTATAGGGAAAAAGAAGGAATGCGTGCATATTTTGCAAGTGTGAAGTACGGAAAGATGAGACAGGGAGCATGAATCAGGCACATTTTCTTCTACTTGAGTCCTACCTAAACCTTTCACCGGCATGACCAGGCAGCTCTCTTATTTCTATACCCCTATCTTTACCATAAAACTTTTGCTCGTGGACACCGGCAACTTCTTGATGAGCCACACCACCCACCAAAGGAATAGAAAAATATTAATTAGGAAGAACACCCACGTAGTTCGAAAAATCTTATTGCAATAAAAGTGTCTCAAGAACTCTACATACAGATACAGCAAATGAAGAAACATCACAGGAAAAAATTGTTAACGCATCCCCGCCCACACTCCCAAACTCTCAGCAAGATTCTTCTGAGTTTCACGTTTATAAAAACATAAATGGGCTGCACTGAATTGGATGTGCATTCAACGAGCATCTGAAATCTGTAATCATTTAATCCGCAATGCCTGGAACAAAGAGAGAATTTTTAACCCAATCAGAAAGACAAAGAAAGTCTACCCCTGATGAGATGCAATCTCATAGTGAAGTCACTCAACTTTAGAAACCTCATGGACATTTCCCCTCACGCTCCCACCCTGCAGAAATAACCAAAAACTGATTACAGCAAATCTCACCTTATGTGGAACTTAATGAATGAAGATCCCATATGAAAATGCTCTAAGTAAATGAAACCCCTTTCCTGAAAATAATCCACACACGGATGATATTCATATCATTACTATAGATCTAGAGGAAAAATAAAGATGCACATAACTGCAAAATTCACTTGGAAAAAACCCAAAGGCTCCATCATAATTCGGGTTCCACTTATATTATCAGAAAGGAGAAACAGATTTTTTACAAAAATTGTCAATTCTTGAACGCGGAAGCAGTTCCCCTTTTTTCTTAAAATATTTAGGATATCTATGACAGTCATTAAAATTAGGATTGATCAAATGTGCCTGCCTACATTTCACTTGGACAAAGCAAAAAAGCAAAGAAATTCTTAAGTTCCTGATTTCACAGGCTATTAAAAAGACAATATGCAATTGCATGGCCTATAAAACAACAACAAAAATGTGATGACATCTCTCCCAATTGTTTGAGCTACTCTGGAAATGTGAAGATAAATGTTTCTTTTCTTAGCCACATTTATATTCTACTCCTTCACACCCAGCTGGCCCTCAGAATGTACTTTTCAGGAAAAGAGGCGTCACAGCTCTAAACCAACCAAAATGCACTAAAACTCCCCACTATTGGCCCAGTATAGTTCTAAAGCTCTTGGTACAACCAAATTCATCTGCTTTTGGCCAGTTGTGCCATTCTGACACCTGGCCAATCAACAGGGGTAAAGAGGGGACAGGAAACTGGAAGACCCATGGAAGCCAGCCGATTCCAGCTTATCTGCAAAACAGACATCCAAAAGCGATAACCCAAAAGCAATTCTTAAAAGTATTTAGGATTCATCTTATTGCTATTTTTATCCATTTATTCTTCTTTAATTTTATCTGGCCATTTCGAAAGAAACTTAATAGCAGATGCAGAGGTGAAAGGCAGTTGGAATTCCTTGAGAACACTGGACAGGGACTAGTGCAAAGCAGCTAAGGTGGGCTGGACAACAGGAAGGATGTCACCGTGCAAATGATGCTCCTGGGGACAACGATGGGGTGACTGAACTCTGAGCCTCAGAAAAAATCACAGTCAAACTTCCAGGCACACATGGATGTCAGGGGACAGCAAGGAACGAGTGGACCTCCATGATGACCAAAGTGGCAGAACACCCAAAACATTCCTCCTTAGCCCAAGGACTGGAAATACAGGCCAGTTTATGCTACTGTCACATCCTAACTACCACGTAATTCCAATTTCACCAAAGCAAGCTGAACACTTCTGGAATGAGAACTAATGATGATAAACCAAAGAAGCAGTCCTGGTTTCAGACTAACAATTCTCAGTAACAGGAGACGTGAGTAGGAAGAAATAAAAGAGAGCTGGACAAAGAGAGCCTACCCACAACAGTCACCCATCTCCAGAGGGTGCCCACTCCTCAACAGGACAGAACTCTCCTGATTGACACCAAGCACCGAGGAGCAGTGAGAGGGGGTGGTGGGAAGGGGAGAGGCGCTCCTAGAGACCTACCTTGCAGGAGGGCTCCATTTCTCTTGAAGAAGGTACTGCCCGGCCAGATGGGTGGACCTGATGTGCTGTAACAGAAGAGAAACCAGCATAAGGGCGGGCTCACTTACACTCACTCACTCGCACTCAGAACAGCCCCTTCTCCAGACATCACCCAAAATGGCCTGAAAACACTTTCCCAGTTAACGCATTATTTACACTCACTGGAAACGCATCTTTAAAAACCATTAGGTTTGTTTTATGATGAATGGGCTTCCTATTTCACAGGGCAGAACCTGTCTGTGTGGGTACTCTGGTTACTCTCTTGACCCTGCTCCCACCTGGGCACTGAAATCATTCGCAGGTTAAGAAAATGGCATATTCACACGGTTCAATATCATAGCTTATAACTTAAGAAAACTGGCTATTTTATTCACAATTTTATGAATTTATGTGGCAAAGAACTCCTATCCACATCTTCTGAGACCAAGTGGGTTGTCCGACACTTCCTGGGGCCACCTGCCTGTTATGAATGCAAACTTGCCTTTCTTGGCGGCTTTTCTACCACCAAATCCTTAATATACAGAAATGACCTTGATCGACTCCCTCCCTCCTCCATCTTGTTTTGTATCTTGTTTTCAATTTCTTGGCTTAAAATGTTGCACTCCATACCCTATAAAACATTTTGCAGATACGTTACCACCCATAGTCTGGTAACAAGAGAGGCAAGAAAACAAGAAAGACCAATACATCACAAAGACACTGTACTGCATTTATAGACGAGCATTTTCACTGTTTTAAGACACCCCGTGAAAAACTTTATAACCAAGCCAGTCTTAGCAAAATATCCTTAGAGTGGGAAGTAGGTTATTTTAAATCAAGGATTGGTTTAGATTCATGGTAGAAAGCACTTAGTCAAAAATGTTATTACATTCAGCCCAAGAGGCAGTATAAGTTACTTTCACCAAAATGGTACATGGCAAATGATAGTGGTTAATGCATAATCAATCACCTTCAACACGAAAAAAATAAAAAGTTGGTGTGAACAATACATTTGTAAGTTCAGCAGGCACACACATATACAGAATTAGAAAACTGGAGGGCTCTATAAGGAATGCTTCACCAGTCAACTAGGGTCTAGAGATACAGGAGAGCAATACTGTTAACAAGGAGAAATGCCAGTGACACATTCTGCCGACCCAAATTTCATCACCAGAGGTACAAACAGCATAGCAGGTACAGGGACACGTTACATGACTGCGAAGGAGCAGAGAGGGAGGAAGAAAAGAGCAACAGCATAAAAATACTATTAAAAATCAAAATAATGTCAAAGGTGCTAGAAAACACACACTATGAACCTTGATGTAAATGAATCTTCTTGTTTTATTTTGTTTTGGATCCGTGACACTCAGAGAAAGCGAGAAAAACGAGTGTCAGCCATGGCTTCTCCTGCAGCCCTGATTCCCAGCTCTGGCAGCTGTGGCCTCCGAGTGGCCAGGAGTTGCACAGGATAATAGTAAATCTGGCTGGGGTCTCAGGGCCACAGGATAATGGCAGCAAGCTGATTTCTCTTCCATCTGATTCCTGGCCTATTCTGCTTTGAGGCTTTTAAGGCTCAAAGTTGCATGAAGAATAATGTGCATTAAAATGCTTAAGATTATCTTTTAACAACTCCGGCCAGCTCCCAGGATTTTACCATCTTCTTTTTATAAGAAAGCAGGAAACAGCAAGCCGGCTGTTGCCAACACTGAATCACCTGATGTCTAAAGATATTTAAAGACTGAGGACTTCATTACAGGGGACGTGGTGCTTCCAGAGAATTCAATAATTGAGTATTACTGCAGGAGCCTGAATATCCAGCTTACTTCCATCCAAATCTCCTCTTTATCCTGATCTTGATTGGGCTGAAAACTGAGCAGACGCCAGGGAGGGAGCAAATGTGGGGAAGCGAGGTCGGGTAAATCCAGTGGTTTAGATAAGGAAAATTCTCTGTATGATAGAAATCTACTTAAAGATTTCTACAACATCCTTCTAATGTACCTAAGTCACTGATCACTATTCTAGTCGCTCTGCCCTGCTGTTCATGTAATCTCTACCCTAGCAGTGGAAAGAGAGTTGGACTGGCCCACCCACCTGGCTCTTACCTGCCCCCAATGTCACTGATGAATTCACCTGTGGTCTCTTGCTAGCTCAAGGTAAGCTGGTTCCTGCCATGCTAAAGCTTTTGAGCTCAGTGGCCCCTTATTCTACACTTTTCTTTTGGATGGTCCCTCAAAACGACATCTTCTAACTTAGGAGATGCAAGGATTTATTCAGTGCTTACTGAGGACTGTGCTTGTTGTTGAGAAGGACACAAGGGGAAAAATTAAAAGCCATATTTTATGGCCTCTAGGAACTTACTGCCGTGCTTACCTAGCTTCAACCTCCTAGGATTCTATCTAAAGTGATAAGAAATGCCTATGGAAAGGTTAGTAGTTGTGGATGGACCTGGTGGCTGCAGGTTGGGGAGGCAGCAAACTGATCTTTTTCTCCATCTGGAGATGTCCCTGGCTCACAGCCCTTTAAAGCTCAAAGTTGGTTTTAAAAAATTATACACAAAATTATTTAAAAGCCTATCTTAACCATAGTAACTCAGAGAAGAAGCTAATGGTCAAGGTCTTTATGGGAGGAGCTGAGGCAACCCTGGGAACCAATCATTCATGTGGCAAATCAAGAGGAGGGGAGGGTGGGGGACTCTCTACATCCAGTCACTTAAATGTTGGTGATTTGTGAATGGTAACAGCCATGAGAAGTGGCCACGAGGGCCCCCTTAAACCTATTGGAGCGGGCTTTAGTCACCTTACAATGATGGTTACATTGCTCAACACTGGGAGGGCAAATTATCATTTACAGAGCCCAGTGATCAACACTGTTCCATGGGCTCCTTCAATCCTATGGGTGGGCAGGGCAGGACCTATCTTCCCCATTCAACAGATGAAGAGATGGAGGGACTTTCCCAAGGCATCTCTTGGTTGCTTAGTGATCAGCCCACCATCCCAACACATACACATCATTGGCCCCAACTTCATTGCTCATCTTCCAGCTTTCATCTTCCAGTCTTCTGGCACTAAGCTCTTCGCTACCCTTCTCCACTGAAGAAGGTTGCGGATGGTATTTCACTAAGAATCTCTCCAAGGTAAAATGCCAGGCTAGGCTAGAAAAAGCAATCAGGCTAACCATATATGAAAGACAGATCCATGGGCTCATATTAGCAGAATCAACACAATGCTGGTGCCACAAATATCTCATTTCCATAACTCTAACAAACTCTAACACGACCTTTGGCACTAGAAGCCAAACCCACTTTGTGACAAAGGAAGCTGACCAACAGGTTAAGAGGGCCTTGCCTGCCAGAAAAGCAGTTTGTGAACTGGCATTTGAGCACATTGATCCAGCTCATCACTAAGACCAGAGCTAAGCCAGCAAATCCCAAGAGATGAGCAATACCGTCCTGAACAGGATACCCAGCATCTGCCAGAGACTCACAGCCCTCCATCCCTTCCTGGCCTCACACTCTCAGCTGCATTACTTCCCACTCCCAAGGGAACACCGTGAGTCAACGGGTCATGCAGCCCTAAGGTGGCTCTTGGCATAACGATGTGATCTGTCATGTGTTTTCTCTGTGTCCATGAGCTTTCATCATTGTGAGAACCGGCTGGATGGTAACCAAGACCCTGGGAGGTTCTGGCAAGACCCACACCTGTACTCACCAGCCTGGACTTTCTGTAAGTTTACTGAAAACCAAATTAAGAAAAGTACTTTTTTCTAACAACCCAGCCGCCAAATGTAAACTGGTATATCTAAAAGAGAGTAAGATACTACAACATGGATGAACCTCAAGGACATTAAGTGAAATAAGCCAGACACGAAAGGACAAAGCCTACATGATTATATGAGGTAGGAGAGTGGTCAAATTCACAGAGACAGGGGCTAGAGGGAGTGGGGAATGGAGAGTTCTTTAACGGGTACAGAGTTTCCATTTTGCAAGATGAAAAGAGTTCTGGAGATGGGTTGACAACAGTGAGAATGAACTTACACTACTGGACCGTATGCTTAAAAAGTCGTTAAGATGGTATATTTTGTTATGTGTATTTTATCACAATTTAAAAAAAAAATTTAATGTAAAATGAGAGCGAGAGACAAAGAGAATGAATATAGGAAGGACTCCAGGAGAAGTGAATCAAAGCCTAGAGTTTTAGGCAGGGAAGGACCAACCTACGTGCTGTCGCTAAGGGTCCTGCAGTTGGCATCTCTGCCAGAATGATCCACAGCACGGTGAAAAGCAGAAAGCCCAAACAGACTGGGGGAAAGGAAAGGGATGTAGTGAGACCAGCCTATTCTAATCTTGTACTTTCAGAGGCCAGAGCTTGCCCACTACTCTTTAGGCAACTAAGCAGATTCCTGTCCTATTCTTAGCACTGGAAACAGCATGCGAAGGCAGTCCCTCTGGATGTGTGACACCCACCATCACACTGTGTTTTCCCATGAGAAGTCAGAGCATAGTAATGAAGGAGGAATCCCGGAAAAAATACCAGGAATTCTATTGTTTTCATTCTAACTGTGGATTAATCACCAGGAAATAACAGAAAAACAAATACGACCTATGCCACACACTAGCCCAGACCCGTTGGGTGAAGGATGCCAGTCGCTGAAGTTTGGAACGAAGGAATCAGAGCAGCCTGGATGGACAGACATGTGTGAGAAGGCCTCAAGTTTCACAAAATCTGGTTCACTATCTGAGCATCACCACTAAGCAACACGCTTCAAAGTTCAGAATTCTTGAGGATATTCCTGACGCTTTTATAATCTTCCAAATAAAATAGAAGCATGTTGACATTCAAAGGGAAAGTGGCCACCTGGTCCTATCCGAGGTGTGGTGGGGAGAGCACGAGATTTGGAGTCAGGGAATTTGTGCAAATACGCTAAAAGTCTTAGAACTTGTCAAAGTCTCCATTCCAAGCCTGCAAACGGGGCCATAACAGCATCTAGTGTTTAAGGATAAAATGAGATGATCCATGTCAAGCGGATATTCTAGGAAATGCAAAAATCC